TACAATCATTTTGAGTGCGGTATTCATATTTGTTTTTGGCCCCTGAAATGTAACTCCAAAATTATATACAAACACTCAAACACAAATACTGCACACAAATTTACATCTGCATTTAAAATCCAACACTACATCCAAACACACCTCTGCAAGCAAATGCCAACATTATATACAAACACATCCCTGTATTAAAATGCTAAAATTATATACAAAAACAAACAGGAGCACACCTGCTACTAAGTACTACAATCTGTTTACTATCTGTAGAAATAAGTGTGTGTGTGTGTATGTATGTGTGTATATATATATATATATATATATATATATATATATATATATATATATGTTTGACAATAAAACATAATGTGCCAAAAGAGAAGACATTATGCTCTGGTGTCAGAACCCTGGGGGATCCATGGTGAAATATCGAGGGGCAGTGTGAGGAACAACCAGTTGGGTGCCAAACGGACATAGAATCTCTATTAACCCTTACCTGCCTGAACCTGCCCTAGTTAATCCTTGCCTGCCATGACTTACCTTGGTAACTCTTACCTACCTGGACCTGCCTTGCTTAACCCCTGCCTGCATCTGCCTTGGTTAACCCCTGTGTGCCTGGACAAGTGTTGGACCTTCTTTAAAATCTTTGCCTGTTTGTTTAACCAGCCAAATACTTTATAATTTTGTTTTCTGATCCTGCCTAGAATCTATGCTAAGACTTTATTTTGTTTTACCAGTCCTGGTCTTGCACTATTTGGTTTTGTTCTCGGACTCCTCCGTTAATGCCATTTGTTTAATCAATAAAGACTGTAAATTAACCCCAAACCCGTGTCAGTAGATTTGAGTTTGGGAGGGGGCTATGGCAGATTCATGGGGAACTCCCTTTCTACCCTCATGTCTTATGCTTATTGGGGGCACAGGGTGCCTGTAAACCCAGGCTGGCTTGACCAAACTAGACTTCCACAAACTAATCAGTTAGGAGAACTACATGCGCCCAACTGGGCCAAACCTAGAAGCTCTGCGAGCGTACAGGAAGTTTGACACAACCCACTG